CACACACACACACACACACACACACACACAGCAATTTTTAAAGCAATGTTCCATACTTTAAAGGCAGACATTTCATTAGCTGGTTTTAGAGGAAGGGATCTTCACTTCACTGACTGAAAATTTGTTAGCTGAGCTGTAGCGTCTCTTTAAACAACTGTGAGTGTTTATGCATGTGGGTAAATGCATATAGACTACTATTTAAAACCAGAAGCACATCGACAGACAGATAGACTCACTTCTCCTAAGTGAAATCTCAGGTTTCTCCGGCAGCAAAATCAATACATCACACAGGCTCACACACACACACACACACACTGCATCCATAAAATGCTTTTATTGAGTAATTAAACAGCCATTACTGTCGCCAACAGCAAAATAGTAAAACGGATAAAGCTCTTCTTCAAACAGGATCTAGACAAAATACGTACCCACTCATACACACAATCTAATCCAGACTACTGACTTCAGTAAGTACCTGCTGAAGTACAAATTCCTATGGGTTCTTGATTTCAAATCTTTCACAAACACAAAACAAAGAGCCACAAAAATACCCAACTCTGTCTTTAGGGGAAAAAAGGCACTAGTTTACTATATTTAATGATTGTATTAAAGGTGTATTCCACTCAAAAATGAACCTTATGTTGTTCCAGACCTATATGATTTTCTTTGTTCCATCAAACACAAAAGGAGATGTAAGGCAGGATGATTACAGTGGACTTTTCCATACAGTGAAAGTGAATGGTGACCAGGGACTGTCAAGCTCTAAAAATGCCAAAAAAATCAACATAAGTGTTATAACTGTAGGAAAATCTTTCTCTCTGTTATAGCTTTCAAATGTCATTTGCATCATTTAAATAAGCATATACTGATCAGGTGTAATCAGAGACACATGAGAACTAAATTTTGGCATTACACTGATATCATACTGATCTGACATTATATTAATACAGTACAAACATGAATGAGATTTGAGAGTTGCGTCACAGTCAATAATGAATAATAAATAATAGTACGTTTGTCATTTCAACACAAAGTCATCGTCTGGCTTCATAAGACATAGAATATAGCCATATGGACTAATTATCATTCTTTTAGTTCTAATTTTTGGAGTTTAAAAGCCCATGGTCACTATTCCCTTTCATTGTATGGACAAGAGCAGCATGAACATCCTGCTTAGCTTCTTCTTATGTATTCCAAAGAAAGAAAGTCATATGGGTTTAGAACAATGTGAGAATGAATAAATAATGACAAAATTATAATTTTCAAGTGAGTAATCCCTATACAGTATAACATTCTTCTATTTATGCTGTTTACTCCTCAAGACGTCAGCCAAATACTGCATGACACGAGCCACAGTACTATAGACCATATTAGCCATCTAAAAATAAAACAGAAAATACATTTGATACAAAACCACACTCTCTTTTACTTGACACAAAGGGCATGCTTTTCAGTGTGTGTGTGAGAGTGTGTGTGTGTGTGTTAGCTAGAGTGTGTGTGTGTGTGTGTGTTAGCTGGTGTGAACAGTTCTCCTGTTGTGCCAGGCTGTTTGACCATTGTAAGAGTGGCAGGGTGGACGCCCTCTAATTCTTCTTTAATGTGAATGAGCCATTCACTCTTAATGTCCTCTCTTCAAAATGCCTGACTTTCAGCCCTGGCCTGCTGAGTGCTGCAACAGAGAGAAAGAGGGAGAAAGAAAGAGAGGGAGGTGCAGAGAAGTATGATAGAACGTAGCCTCAGCAGCGGAAGGCCTATGGACGTTTAAGCTCAGAGATTGAAAACCTTTGTTTTGTAAAGTCACTGTAAAATGTTGCAGAAAGGGTAAGAGACCATTAAATTAAAACTTTAAGGTGAAACCAGCCACAACATACAGCTCCAGTTTGATAAACTCCTATGTGCAAGTGTGTGCAATTTTTTAAAGAAAGTCAAAATTCTTAAGACTCCAATGGACTTTAAGTGAAAACAAAGAATGAATAGGTACGACAATATTTCAAAATATGTCAACCTCAGACACAAGAATAAACATGAATACACTCAAATGCCGAATTGCAAAGCTGGTACAAACATATTCACATCTCTATGATCGCTTGCATATATACTCGGAGATGAGTTTCCGAAAAGAAAATTACAATGAATTTTGTTGTCTTCTTTTGTTGTCATTTTGTCAATTTAAAACTTGATCTTCCTCTGAAACTGTTTTAAAATTTTTATTCAATGGTGTCAGTTGGTGTTCAATTGGATTACATTATTATATAAAATTTTAACCAATAACCAAATAGATATTAAGATGTTGTTTTAGTAAACTGAATTCGGGTCACACGTTTTTGGTATGTAATGGCCACTTTTCACCTTCAAATCAGTTTCCAATGGATAAAATCAAGACTCATCCTACATTTTTCCTGTTATTTATCCTGTTTCACTTGGAAATACAAAATTATGGGTTAAATGGATTGCAATTCACATTAACATTTTCGCTGAAAAGTATAAACAATAGGTTTGAAGCACATTTAAAACACTTTATTTGCACGAGCATCCCTGTCTCAACTAATGGAGTGACTTTGGGACAGGACTATGTGTTGAAAGTGTTCTGGAAACCTGTTTCAAAACAGTCATTATTTTGCAATTCTCTTTGGTGACAGTAGTGGCATTGAAATCTGACACTTTAGCTTTGATTCAAATGAATCAGTCTGAATCAAACATTTCAGAGAGACATTCACGGCAAAAATAAAAAAACGTGATAAATTCAATCTAAGACAGACAAGGCAACTCTTTTCTTTCACGTCCTCCCTCTTCTCTTCTTCTCTTTTCTGCAGATAGATTATTTAAAACCTCCATAAAAGACATAGCAAGGGCTTAAATCACGTTCATATCTCTCTAAACGAGAGACGGACGCCTCGCATGTCAATGACCAATTCAATTCCACATGCCATTTTCCTCTGCTAATTAACACAGTACCGTGTTCATTTAGAGACACAATGCAGAGCACTGGGCCGGGGCAGGCTGGGCAGCCGCATGCCGTCTGCTGCTGACATCAGCCTTTAATAGGGCTTTAGCATATTAAACAGCTCAATCATCTCTCATATGCACACACACACACACCCACACACTCAGACTGGATGGATGCACTAGTTTTCTGTGTAATAGGGACAGATATGAGAGAAATGAGAAAGTATGTGAGAAAGTCTTCATTAGTCACTCACAGACACTTTCCTCTTGTTGCTAAATATCTTTAGATGTGTGAAAGGAGGGATTGAGCTGGAGGGATGGAGAGGTGAATGAAGAAAAAAAGTGGTGTTAGATGTAAAGGATAGAGGGATAATTTCATCACGAACACTGTCAGCACTAAACTTTTACCATAATCTGACTGTCAAAAAGAAGCAGGGGCCGACAGACAGGAGAGGAACATGAGAAAGGGAGGTAATTAATGAGATACTATGTGTTCATTTTATATTTTTTTTTTTGCAAAAAAAATGTTTTTTACCTACTGTCTGAGTAACTGAAAATTAAAATGTTTTTGGAAGTGTGCAAGTGTGTCAGATTTTCAGGCAACACACTTCGACAAACAACATTTGCTTACTTACAGAACAAGCTGTTCACACAAGCCAGTGATTTGGAAAATATACAATATATTGACTTCTAAAACTATTTTTGTAATGTGTACTCAATGTAATGTAATAATGTTATGGCATAAATTACATTTTTATATAAATACATTTTAAATTGATTGACCGCAATAGGCTTAATTATACTGGATAATTATCTAAAAACTGAAATTATATGAATTAGTTTTCTTTTATTACAATATCACAATTAATCAATTAATTATAAAGGATTTCACTAATATTCAAGGTGTTTCTTCATTTGTTTTTCTAATTGAAAACCAAACATACTTTCTGTAGAATATTAGTTTATAGATTATTAAATGTCCTCAATATCACTTTCCATCCTGTTAGTCTTTTGCAATATCCGTTTAGCAAACAAAAGCCAGTTCCTTAATTACATCATCCTACAGGAAGTGTAGGGAAAACAACAGCACAAAAAAGCAGTAAGTATCAGCAATGGACTTCATATTGACAGTCACGCTCAATTCCTCGCAGAACACAAACATTTACATTTTTTAAAATGTAGAATTCAAGGTATGACCCTAGTCTTCTAAATTTAATAAGTCTCAAAAAAAGCCTCTGCTTAACAATAATTAAGGCCTCTGACATATACACACACACACACACTTCTGAAACTATAGTGAGCATATTTCATAAAGACGGATATTTATACACTACCACGGCCGTAACTGTGTCTTGAACAATTTTAAAACAATTAAAGGATTTAAAATGACTTAAGGGAATAAATGAAAAGAAAGAACATACAAGAACCAGAATTTATTGTAAAGTAATGCATTTAAACTAGGGCTGTCAAACGATTAATCGCGATTAATCGCATCCAAAATAAAGGTTTTTGTTTACATAATATGTGTGTGTACTGTGTATATTTATCATGTATATATAAATACATACACATCATGTATATATTTAAGAAAAATATGTTATGTTTATATATTAAATATATTTATATATAATATAAATTATATAAATATAAATATATACATGTAAATACATGTAAATATTTTCAAAATATATAGCTACTGCATGTGTGTGTATTTATATATACGTACATACTAAATATACAGAGTACACACACATATATTATGTAAACAACAACTTATTTTGGTTGCGATTAATCGTTTGACAGCACTAATGTGAACTATATGATAAGTTCTGACTGAAATTGAGTAGTTTGCATCACAGGATATTACTATATGTCATTTTGATTCGATTAATCTAAAATAAATAAATAATTGACATCGAAGAATGCTGTTAGCCATTGACAAGTGCACACAATTCAGAGAATTTAGCCATATCTCATTATTGGGGGGACATGTCCCCCTAAATGTCCATGGTTGTTAAAGTCTGAAACACTAAACCTCACACAAACCTTTTGACGTAATCAGATTTAAGTAGCCTAATACATGATTTGTCGATTTATAAGCATTTCAAAAACCACTTCAAATATCCTCACAATTGTTTTCAACATGTTTCACTACATTTGTAGGACATAAAAAACAGCTAAACCTGTAGGCAACACACAAGAAGAACAATAAAAGACTATGTCACTCGATTGATGTTACCCAGTTGGCCATGTGAAGGTATAGTAAGAAGCACACGCATGGTAGTTTAACTGTCCATTTCTAATTCACGAATGCCCATCAAACTTGTGATTTATTGTGTGACTTGCTCAGTGACACCACATTCAGACAGATAAACAACCCCTCATACAGACAAGTCGACAGCTCTGACTGAGAGGCAGACACACACAGACAGACAGACAAAGAGAGACAAGGGGAACACTGGAATATTGGAAAATGAAGTGTTGTCATTTCGCAATACATCTGAGTCCAAATTATGCACATCTAACTACCCGCGCCACTGTGCGCTCACGGCTGATTTCCCGCCAGAATCCCATCACAGCGCGAGCATTTATTACGCGCTCGTGCAGCAGCCGCTCTGCCCGCGCGCCCGACTGGAGATACAGCGCTGCATGATTGCGGTCTGTAACCTCCAATTTCCACTCTTCTTCCCCTGACGCGAGCCAGGAAAATGCTATCATAGCACTGAAAATCAATCACGACCAGCATGAATGAAATATCCGAATGAGAAACAGATAGGAAAAAAACGTTTAAGTAGGAAAATATAGGCTATAAAAAAGTGAGGAAAAGAGGTAAGATTTAGAATGTTCTAACACTTTTATTTAAAAGTGTCTCTGATTCGAATCCATCCTGGGTCATGTCATCCCATCCCATTACCCTCTGGGCCTGTACTTTCTTTTCATTTCTGCCAGGCAATAATTAAAATAACTAATGCATGCATATGATTGGGATTTGACGGTAATAAAAACATTCAAATGATTCATACAGAAAATAGAGCCTAATAGAAATACTGCATTTACAAACAAAACAGAGATATGACCTACCATATACACCGCTGATCATATTGCTTGACATCAGCAAGGTGATTGAGAGTGAAAAAAAGGAGTGAAAGGTTCACTTCAACGATTTCCACAAAGCGAAAGACTTTCCAGTAAGTTGAAGGACACGCACCACATGCAAATAAATAGTGTTTTGGGCGGACAGGAACCCCAAACTGTGGAGAAAGAAAGAAGGAGAGATTAATATAATGCAGCAGCAAAATGTTAACGTATAGGCCTATGAAAATTCTCAGTAATTATTATCATTGGTTAGGCTATGCATATTTATTTGTTTGTTTAACGTTCCCATTTCCCCCCAAAACAGTTTTTTTTATTTAAACATTTTATAGCTATTAACATTTTAATGCAAATATTATTTTCCATATATTAAAAAGTGCGCTCAAAAAGTCAGGTAAATACAGAATATTTATTTCTATTTAGCTATTTTTAAAAACTAGATTCTGCATATATACGTAGCCTATTTTTTTTTTTTTTTTTTTACAGTTTTACATTGTAGGCGATTTTTCTGTTTAGTTCATTATTGCAGATAAGTATTTAAATAATAAGTATATTCAATCTGATTAAAATGTCATTTAAATAACAGTTTGTATTTATTTGTCACTCTGGATTGTTTTGGCAATGCTATATTTTAATATTCTTGCAAAGGAAACATCATTGATAATAGCTAAAGTGAGATTTCTAAATTAAGTCAGAGATCATATTGAATTGTGCTGACAGGCGAGAATGTCTCTCTGTTATTCTCGCCTGGACACACAACACACACACACACGGATCAATGCTGCCTTATTATAGAACTCTGCTCCAATAATAAAACTTCTCGCCTAGTGCTCAAACTATCATAATTTCACGCTATTTAAATTAAATTGCGCGCTATGTTTTGCTCAGGCCTGTGTCCGAGTGTCCGAGCGCACTGTCCGTGCTGTGGCATGGCCTCTCTCTCTCTCTCTCTCTCTCTCCGGTACAACGGGCAGCTGGTGGACACACACAAAGTGAAAGATTTACCTGTTCGGCGCCGGAGAACGGCGACAGCGTCCAGCCGTGCTGCTGAGAACGGGGGATGAGGGCTACTCCGAGTCGGTGATGTTCTGGAGTGCTTCCAAGTCAGGGCTGGAGAGACTGACCACCATAGAAATACTGACCACATCTACTGCCATGTTGGAATTCCAGAACCTCACGCCAGCTGCCGAAAAGAAAGCGGAGAAGCTTCATCTCCTACTGCGCATGCGCTCTACCGGACTCCAACTGAGAGTCCAGTTTCTCTCTCTCTCTCTCTCACGCATAAGTAGTAGGCTATATAATGTTAAAAACTATCAAAGCTAGCGGGTTTAAACATCCTTTGGGAATTCACTTAAATATACAAATATAATTCCTGTCATTTATATGTGGCAAAGGACAACATTCGCTGATGTTGTAGCCTACACAAAGGCAGGATTAAAGGATATAATATAATGAATTCCTATATGTGACCCTGGACCACAAAACCAGTCATAAGGGTCAATTTTTTGAAATTGAGATTTATACATCATCTGAAAGCTGAAAAAATAAGCTTTCTATTGATGGTGGATAGGACAATATTTGGCTGAGATACAACTATTTGAAAATCTGGAATCTCAGGGTGCAAAAAAAACAAACAATCAAAATATTGAGAAAATAGCCTTTAAAGTTGTCCAAATTAAGTTCTTAGCAGTGCATTTTACTAATCAAAAATTAAGTTTTAATATTTTTACGGTAGGAAATTTACAAAATGTCTTCATGGAACATGATCTTTACTTAAAATAGAAAAATCTATAATTTTGACCCATACAATGTATTGTTGGCTATTGCTACAAATATAGCTGTGCTACTTATGACTGGTTTTGTGGTCCAGGGTCACATATGTTACTCATTTGATGCTATGTAATTTGATAAACAATGAAATTAACTGCAAAGTGCTTTTTCTGTACCTGAGATTTACAAATCTGTAATGCATAGTACACAAAGAGGCCTTTATTCTTTTTCTCACCTTCATTTTTATTTATTTTATTTCTTTTTGCTCTCTACTGCTAACATGCCTCAAAAAATGAAATGATGTTCATTATAATCGGAGTGCACATTTTTGTACTAAACTGTAAATGTGTGCATATATGCATTTGAATGAGTATATTAGGGTGTGTAATGCACCAGTCACTGTATATTAAATAAACTTCAAGCATATATAATGTGCATGATAATTCATATTAAGACATCGCAGACAAATTCACCATGCATTTAGTGTGCAGAAAAAAGTCAAGCCCCCATTCACCAACCTCAACATCATTTCATTCTAATCCACATTTCTTATGTTTGCTAATTACAGAGCCACTCATGTCCCTGTCTCCGATTATCATTTCGCATAAAAGGCACAAGTTTAGCATAAATTACGAATATTTCTGCATATTAGCCAGTGAAGCCGTGACATGTTAATGACCCTGGTGTCAAATGGCAGAGAAAATGAAAGAGAGATAATCTGACAGAATGAAAAATAGAAAGAATAAACACTGAAAGAGACTAAGAAATGAACGAGCACCTTGACATTTAGAATAGTTTTAATTATTTTTAATAAAAAAAGTCAGTTTTCATTATTAATACACAGACGCATCTGAAAGCAGTATGAGCAAAATGCAAAGAATTCAAGGTAGAAAAGAACACTGACAACCAGCAACATTTTGCATATAGTTAAAGAAAACAAGACTAAAAGTGAAGAAGCTGAGGTTGGAAACTATTGTGATTACAACATTTTCTTGGTTCTATCGTCCATTTCTAGACTAAACATAGTGTCTGTCTGTTTGTCTTTTCTCTGTCTTTCTGGGTAAGGGCAGGGAGGAGAGGCCATCCGCACAACATCGTGGGGGTTAGAATGTGGTGACATCAGAGGAAATGTCAGAGATTGTGGGAGGCAACGTTAAAGAGAAACTCAGCTCCGTGCCTGAAAGCCTAACTGACATTTTTGGACAGTCGGAAAGGTCAGGCATACCTTCAGATGAAAACTATTACTCCTTATACAGTATACACAGCTGGGTAAAATAATATCATGTTTTTACCGTATTTGCTTGAGTTTCATGCTCATGTTTGTTGCTCCATAACCATAAATGACAATTCATATATCATACAGTATTACATACATATATGCACCATGAAAATAAATGATTTTATTAAATTACTTGTATATATGTACTGTATGTGTATATATATATTTATGGATTTTATGCTCATGCTCAAGATTTAATGAGAAAAATCTATAATTTTGACCCATACAATGTATTGTTGGCTATTGCTACAAATATAGCTGTGCTACTTATGACTGGTTTTGTGGTCCAGGGTCACATATGTTACTCATTTGATGCTATGTAATTTGATAAACAATGAAATTAACTGCAAAGTGCTTTTTCTGTACCTGAGATTTACAAATCTGTAATGCATAGTACACAAAGAGGCCTTTATTCTTTTTCTCACCTTCATTTTTATTTATTTTATTTCTTTTTGCTCTCTACTGCTAACATGCCTCAAAAAATGAAATGATGTTCATTATAATCGGAGTGCACATTTTTGTACTAAACTGTAAATGTGTGCATATATGCATTTGAATGAGTATATTAGGGTGTGTAATGCACCAGTCACTGTATATTAAATAAACTTCAAGCATATATAATGTGCATGATAATTCATATTAAGACATCCCAGACAAATTCACCATGCATTCAGTGTGCGGAAAAAAAGTCAAGCCCCCATTCACCAACCTCAAAATCATCTCATTCTAATCCACATTTCTTATGTTTGCTAATTACAGAGCCACTCATGTCCCTGTCTCCGATTATCATTTCGCATAAAAGGCACAAGTTTAGCATAAATTACGAATATTTCTGCATATTAGCCAGTGAAGCCGTGACATGTTAATGACCCTGGTGTCAAATGGCAGAGAAAATGAAAGAGAGATAATCTGACAGAATGAAAAATAGAAAGAATAAACACTGAAAGAGACTAAGAAATGAACGAGCACCTTGACATTTAGAATAGTTTTAATTATTTTTAATAAAAAAAGTCAGTTTTCATTATTAATACACAGACGCATCTGAAAGCAGTATGAGCAAAATGCAAAGAATTCAAGGTAGAAAAGAACACTGACAACCAGCAACATTTTGCATATAGTTAAAGAAAACAAGACTAAAAGTGAAGAAGCTGAGGTTGGAAACTATTGTGATTACAACATTTTCTTGGTTCTATCGTCCATTTCTAGACTAAACATAGTGTCTGTCTGTTTGTCTTTTCTCTGTCTTTCTGGGTAAGGGCAGGGAGGAGAGGCCATCCGCACAACATCGTGGGGGTTAGAATGTGGTGACATCAGAGGAAATGTCAGAGATTGTGGGAGGCAACGTTAAAGAGAAACTCAGCTCCGTGCCTGAAAGCCTAACTGACATTTTTGGACAGTCGGAAAGGTCAGGCATACCTTCAGATGAAAACTATTACTCCTTATACAGTATACACAGCTGGGTAAAATAATATCATGTTTTTACCGTATTTGCTTGAGTTTCATGCTCATGTTTGTTGCTCCATAACCATAAATGACAATTCATATATCATACAGTATTACATACATATATGCACCATGAAAATAAATGATTTTATTAAATTACTTGTATATATGTACTGTATGTGTATATATATATTTATGGATTTTATGCTCATGCTCAAGATTTAATGCTTGTGTGTGATGCTCCCAGGAGAATAATTCATTAATTCTTACACACACACACTTAATATTTGCATAATGTATATATATATATATATTTTTTTTTATTTTAATGAGTAATCTTAAGTATTTTTACATTAATTTTCGTGGAGAGAAGATATAATATGACACATAATACATACACATTATATAGCACAGTCCTGAATTGTTACTGTTAGGCTCAACAACCCATCATAGTCTAACGTGTTTTTAATGTACATTTCATGCTTGTGTGTTGATCCCAAGATGACACCATGAAAATGGATTTAAATGACTTATATATGCATGGTAATTCATATGTGCGTGTGAAAGAGAATATATTCAGAGTCTACATATACTGTGTATAATGTTAAACTACAGGCCCAAACTGTTACTTTTGGCTGCTGTGCCATTAAACTCAGCGACCCTTCATAGTCTAATAGATTTCACTGGATTTTTAAGTGCAGATATCTGTCTGACAGCTTCATCTGAGGCCTGTTCCATCTGAGAACAGACTTTATGTAAATAAGTTTGGCTCTGATTGTTAATTAGGGCTTTAGGTGATCAGTATTCATGAGTTTGCGTGGTGCGCTGCTCTCGCCGGGCATGTCTGTGCTGCGCGGGGGTTGGGGGAGCGCTGATCTGGCTTCAGTGACCAGTAGGAAGTATGCACGCCTCAAACTTGCCGGAATACTGATGAGGAAGGTGAGAAAGGCACCAGTCCACCAGGGAGAACTAGACACTTCCTCTATCTCATGCACCACCAGTGGACTTTACACAAGGTGCATATTTTAACGTGAGAACATTTCGATCAGTTCCTCGGCATACTTACACACGGGTAAACCAAACTAGCTTTATAAAATAGAAAACATGCATGGGTCAGATGACCAATAAAGCCCACCTAACCCCCAATCGGCTATGGCAAACATATACCCGCAGTGTTTACGGCCACACGTGGGTTTCAATAGGCCAATTTGATGAAAAGCCCCTCATTGTGCTTGGCCGGGTCCTATTCAATCAGCCGTGCCTGTTGGAAAACCATTCCTACACACCACAGAGAGGTGTCTCAGAGGGCAGGAAAACACGCCTTGAAAATGAGAGGAGGAAAATCTGAAATGGCTGAAGGTCTAAAAGGTGGAGATGCAACCGCTCTGCAGGCTGTTGTGGCCTTGAAAGAGTCCTCTTCAAACAAAAAGCCAGGTAGATAAATAAACTTCATCCTTTTGAATGTCGTTGACTGCCCAGAAAATAAAGCAACACCGAAAGCTTTTTCCCTCAGTTTTATGAAGTCTACAAAACTTGTCTTGACAGACAGAAAAGATGTTACTAGCAGAAAGTGGTAGGTATTTAAAAACACACAAAACACTGTGTGCTGGTTAAAAAGCTCTCCTCTGTGATTTGACCTTTGTGTTTATCGTTAAGAAAGTGACAGTTGAAAGGATCCGCAAAGTACGTGAGTTACATCAAGATCAGCGAGGGAAAAAGTGTTTGACGTGTCTGTGACAAAAAACACATGCACAATATACCGTTCTCAAGCACTTAGCACTTATCACTCTTGGTATATACTGCCCCCTAGTGAACCTAATAGTTACATTAAATGAGTTTACGCCATACAAATTGCACTTCGATATGACAACAGTATGGTTAAAACATTAAAAAACATGTGACAAAGAATGATCAATCACTGGGAATGCTAACAGACATAGCTTCTCCACGTATAGCTACGTGTATACATATAAACTAGCTTTCTATTTTTTCCATTCTACTTGTTTTTCTTTGTGTGTGTGTGTATGTATGTGTGTATGTGTGTGTGTGTAATA